ATTTGGCAACGTTGCGTATCGCGGGAGCTTCAGACCATTCAATAAATTCAAACTAATTTATTTATTTACTCTGACTGCAAAAACTTAAACGTGGTTAAGGTTATATTGTGCAAATGAAAATGTAAACAATCGAAGTACAGCGTTGCCAAATCACGGACAGATTACTTGCAGCTGTTTTGAAAGAGTCAAATTAATTTTTGTATTTAACTATTTTTTTTTTTTTTTATTTCTAAAATTTCAACGATTAATGCCTCATATACTATTTATTATTTAATTTTAGGAATTTTTATGGGTTTTTTATTTTAATTTATCGTATACTGACTACTACAATTGTTTTGACTCAACTGGAGCGAAAGGATTTCCTTAAAAGTGAAGCAGCAGAGTTATAAATTTATGAAAATGAAGTTAACCGACATTTTAAAACTTTTAGAAATTTTTTATTGAAAAAATTTCAATTTAACAATTAAAAAAAAAATGTCACATCTAAAAAACTTTAAAAACTAGAAGTGCAATTTTTTAGAAATATCTTTTTAGTTGTAATTTATGTAATAAAAAAAATTAAAAATTTTTAGACGTCTGCTAACTTCAGTGTCATATAAATTTAATTGTCTTTATTATTTAATATTTATTATATTTTCGTGAAAATGTTTGCTGCGTAAAGTGAAGAATCGACGGGCTGTCAACACAAAGTTGATGTTATATTAATGGCGAATTTGACACAAACTTTGTGTTCATTGCCCAGTAACATACAAAATATGTTAATAAAGAGTATATAACACATTTTTTATGTTACAAAAGAAAATGACACAAGCTTTGTGTTATTTTAACACAAACCGTTTTCGACACAAATATACAATATTTTTTACTGTGTAATTTTGATTTGAAAAAAAATTATACGCCCTTTTGGAATTTGGCACGGAAAATATACACTGGATATCCTTACTCTAATGAAGATCAAGAAGCCCGACAGTAGTCCTGAAATGACTTCACCAGTCACGCTAAGATCTTCAAAGCCCACGGTAAAAAACGTTCGGGTACTTGACGAAACACACATTGTCAAAAAACAAGCAGAGCAAATAGATATTATAATCTCCCTAATTGGTATATGATATTCTTCGCTGCCAAATGCTCTGCGGAGTGACTTGTGTCCGATCATACCGAATAGTACTAACTCAACGTTCCACAAGCTCTCGCAAGTATTTTTAACTTTACTTCCAGTATTATTCATTTCGACGTTTTATTATTTTCCTCGATTTACGTGGAAGTTATTTTCAAGATAGATATTTTTTTACCTCAGATAAAAAAATTCAAGTAAGGGTTGACAATAAGTTAGAAATAAAATTCGCAGTACTGATGAATAATAAATAATGTAATCGATATTAAATAAGAAAAAAATTATTACTTAAAAAAAGTTTTTTGTAAGATATCTAAGGCTAAATGCTGAATATTTAATGTACGGCTATCCCCACTCCTTAAAAGTTAGCCATTTTATTGCGTGGTGCGGCCACTCACGCACTTATATTAACTGTAGTTGAATTTACATCTAAGTTTTCGATAAAATCTATAAATATCATTATTATACCGTTGACTTTTTTTTTATTATATAGTTTATTTTCCGAAGGGTAAAAAGAAATAACGTCGATAACAGATAGCGCATGAATAATAAATAACCGTATGGCTAACTTAAGCTAGAGAAGGGAAAAATTGCGTGACAAAAAATGACTATAAAAATAATAAATGTAAGAAAAAAATGAGAAACTTAAGATGGAAAAATGTTGCGTGACGGTTTTTAGTCTCCCTACTCCTGCGCAATAAAATTGAGCGAATTTCTGCAAGTGTTCAGTCTTGAAGAAGGAATCAAGCAGTGTGAACACTTACAAAAATGGGACCAGAACTTGAACAGACTTTTCGAATTGTTATAATACAAAATCTGTAAATTTATTACGAGTAATATGCGCATATTATAATTATTAAATTATACAGTAATTGATTTCTGTAAGTTTTTTCAATTATAAATCAAAACAATTATATTTTTGTTAAGTTAAAAGTTAATATGTCGAGATTTTTTAAAATCTTCGATTTTCTTAGCGGAAAGTTAAAAATGTCAACAGTTAAAAAAGTACAGTGCAATTTTAATAAAGTCATTAAATAATACATTGAAGAAAAATTTTTAAATTAAAGATTGAAAAAATGTCAACAGTTACAATTTTTTTGTCAATGATCCACCCATTGACTTTTTTTACCTTTAGCTTAATTTTTTTTTTACCAATAATAAATTTATACTTTACTTATGACACTTGAACAAAAAAAAAGTAGGAGGATGCTTGGTATCAAAGACCCCCGACTAAACTCCATTTCTTCTTTCCTTTTTTTATCTTCACTGGCATGGGTACTTAATTTTTTTCCAATCTCCCACGCAAGTGTCTTCGTGTACAAGCATGGCGCTTAATTCCGTAATAACCACATTAATCAGCGTCCGTGTGACTATAAACAACTTATTCGAGAATAAGTACATGTTAATTTATCCGGTAAGTAGGTTGCCGGGCCATAGGAGCCATAGGAGCTATATAAGCCATAGGACGGTAGAATATAACGCATATACCCTCCATATACCCTTCCCCTCGTGTTTATTTTTACTCGTAAAACTACATGAAGCTACCAAGTTTCCCACAGAAACCCCGTCATAGTCACACGTCTCCCAGACTTTCAGGCGTCGTAGATCGCGTGCATAACCTATTCAATGTATTCAATTAATACATTCATGTATAAGTTTAGCTCTTATTCATACGCACTGTTGCGAAATATAATAATGACAATAACCATAAGTATTATCATTATATTTACCCTCTTCTACGTAGAATTCGACTTACCCTCTATTTTTTTGTTAAAAAAAATTTCTTTTCTTCTGTAAATAAAATAGAGGAATTACACGACTATAAGCCTTGGCCCATAACCTGTTGAAAAATAAAATTAATTATTTTAAAATATATATTAGATTTTTTTATATCATAAATAAAACATTAAAATAAATTATAGTATAAGTATTAAAATAAATAAACTAACTTTCTAAAAAAGTAACTTTTTAAATAGCCTATTTAAATAATCATCTTCAGATGTTGTTAATTATTTTTAACTATTTTTTATACACAGAAAAAAATTAATTTTAATCAAGTAAATAATAGAAAGTAGAAAAATATAATAAATATAATTAATTTTGAATAATATAATAATAAGTAGAAAAATTTTTTAACTAAAAAATTTTTCTTGGTTTAAAAAAAATTTTAATTCAAGAATTTTTTGTCTTGATTCAATAAAATGCAACTAAAAAATTATTTTTTTGGTTCAAAATTTTTTCTCTCCATTCAAGTTAAATTTTTTTTTCTGTATAAAACCTGATGAGTTATCAAATTCGGCCTTTAAAAATTTATATACGATCTCGTAGACATGGAAGGCAAAAGATCAAAAAGTTTCGCTAGAGTAACTACAACTACAACTCATATCTTTAAATTTAGTAAGCCCCATAACCATTACCATTACATAGAAGAAATATTCCCACGATCCTCGAGGAGCGTCATATCCGACTCCTGTCGAGTGTGTCAGGGGGAGTAGCCCCTCTCGCGTGGACGACACGTGGCCAAAGTAAAGCCCCTCCAGCGACCCTCGACTTTGCATTTTTAAGGGCATCTCTTCTCTTGTATTAGCCATTTTCCATCGCTATCACACGCACTAATAGTTCATTTTCGGAGGCCATTATTTATCATTCATCTGATATGATATGTCATTTCCATGCGGGCGTCAATAGATTCTATTGAAATGATTCATCGATCCTCAATTAAACTCCCCGTTTATTCCAATGATATTTGTTCTCAGTTCTCATCTATTTAATCTCACCGGCTGGGTATTGATCATGAAACTTATTCCAGGGACAGGAGCATTACTTCACCAGGTACTATCCACTAGGTGGATAATGAAAGGTGCATACCGCTTTTACCAATGCTTTTCCGCTAATCATAGTGTACCTGGTCGGTGTATCGTGTATGTATGCCTCGTTATGCTGGAACGGCTTCTAAAGGAGGAGGTTGCACCAGCTAGATACGTCTTACGTCTGTCAGATCCACGATCCACGCACGTAGTCGTACCCACGGTACTTGGTGTATAGTAATGTAAAATTCAACCGAGACATTACGGTACAATCCGTACCACCAAGAAGTCTATGACCGTGTAACGTTTCCTCGGTTCAAGGCTTGTTTGTGTTTTGTTTGAGAAAATTCCAGCAAATCTTCCTTTCTATTTGCTAGTTTTACAAACACATTGCATGACAAATGCTAAAAGGGCGTATAAACATTTTTGTTGACAATCACTTTTAAGGTAAATGGTGAAAAAAAAATTTTTAAAGCCAAAAGGGTGTATTTTTTAAATTATACACCCTTTTGGCTTTAGAAACTTAGAAATTTTGTGATCTAAAAAAAAAATTTGGTAATTTTTGAGAATTTTAAATAGAGTTAAATATAACTAAAAAAATATTTTTACCATTTTATAACAATTAAAAAATAATTTTTTTTTATTGACCATTTTGCCCCTTTTTGTAGTATAATTTTTCATATTTATTTTTGTATTGCTTTATTGATGTAGCATTATTTTTATGTATTATTATAACAAAATATATAATTTTTCTTTTATACGCCCTTTTGGCATTAGTAACTCAAAAAAAATTTTTTTGCACGCTCTTTTGGCTTTTGTCCCACGAGACTATTAATCTTGAACTTTTCTACTCTGAAAAAAAAAAATTCTTGACTGGAGAATAAATTTTCTTGGCTCAAGAAAATATATTAAGGAAGATTGAAAATTTTTTCAATGAAGTCAAAGTTTTTTAAGCCAAGAAAATTTCTTCTTGCTCTTAAATAGGTTTTGTTTTCCTTAAAATTTTCTTGGTGCAAGAAGAAATTTTTTTTCCTATGTAGGGATCATCAAGCCTCTAGTTTGAAGTTTAAAGAAAGTTCCGAGTCCCAGATGATGTCCTACTAAGTCCAAGATCTTATCCTTAGTCTTGGGGTCGCTTTACACTTTTAGGGATTAAAGTATCCTGGATTGTAAATTAAAGGTAGTTTTTTATAATTCTTCTTGGAGCTAAAGCCTGAGGCGCCCCCGCGATTATCCTCTCTACGGGTCTAGACTTCTAGAGCCCGGTTTATGGTTTCACCACACCGCCATTATACGCCCGATGAATCAGTCTAATTTTTCAGGAATTCAGAGCGTTTAGAGGCGATTTTGGTACACAGCCCCCGCAAATTGCCTTGGGCAACGTAGTATTTTCGGGCCGTGAATCTTTCTGTTGAGATTATTTATTATTGTTATTATAAGTTGTCTTTTTGGTGCAGTTCCTCTGAGTCAGCTTGAACTGAATGGGCTAGGACACGAAACGGTCATTTACGTCCAAAAATCCACGAAGAGACTCCAGTCTATATTCGACTGCAGTTTAACAGATTAGCGCGTTCCTAAAATACCAGACGTTAGATTCACTGGTGCTTGACACGCAATCAAAGTCTCACCTCTGCATAGACCTTTTGTTGAGCAATTCTAATTGTTGGACTTGTCACTAGCTTTGACTGTTGGATCTATTGTAAAGCAATAAATAAAAACTGAACCAGGATAAAAATAAAATACAGTCAATATGATGATTGATGAGTTTCTACTTATGGATTAAACTCAAACTCACTTATAATATTTTTGCCATTGCAGCAAACGGGCAATGTTTGCCCGAAACATAAAGCCCACGAGTATTTAACCAGCCATAAAATTTTTGAGCTCAACAACTACCTGATCTCCCATTTGTTGATCGACGAGCCGGACAATCCTATCGAGTATCTGGCGGATCTTATTGAAAGGTGCCTATTATTCAAAACTGGACAAGGACCACCCCCGCTTATCTTTACAGACAGGTAAAAAATATTTGGATTATTAAACTCCTGTTTTTATAAATTTAAAAATTTTATTTACTAAGCATACTCCTTCCGTAAAATCCTGCGGTTAGATTTATTATAAATTTAATATTTCATTTCTTTGTTGGTATAACTGAAAGTCTCTGATTGGCGAGGATTGACGGGAATAAAAAATAATATATAGGCACACTTCGTCAACGCCCTCGGGAAATTTCATTTTGCGGCTGACAATAGTAGCGTACAACCGCAGGCTCGTGACAAATGGAATTGAAGAAATTACTGGTACGAAAACGACGACGACACCGAGAGTCACGACTCTGTTGTCCAATAATTTGAAACTCAGCCGCCGGTCATTTTATCTTGTTGTCAATTTTCTTTCTTACTTCCTCTGCTTTGTTTCTCTTTATTTTTATTTTTTTTTTCACTTCTCTTCTATTCATTTTATAGTCTTTCGTCTGATCGTCTCTGCGCTCGTTTCAAAGCTCGCTGCAATAAATAATTGAATATAGTATTTTATTCTGTTACCTGAACAGTTTTAAATTGAATTTAAAGTACTGCTTAAAACAATAAAATAATACTTCTGATGAGTCCTTACAATTTCAATTGATTTTAATTTAATTAAAAAAAAAACCATCAATTTAATTTCTTTAATATCAACAGAAAAATATACAAAAAAAAAAATAATTAATTTGAATCAAGTAATTAATTTTGAAGAATTTTTCTTGGTTTAACTAAATTTTATTTAATTAAAATCTTTAAATAAAATAGAAGAATTAATAGACGTAATCTTTGAAAATAAGCCTTGACCCATAACCTGTTGAAAAATAAAATTTTTTAGAATTAATTATTCTAAAATATATATTAAATTTCTTCATATTGTAATAAATAAAATATTAAAATTAATTATAGTATAAAAATAAAAATAAATAAACTAACTTTGCAAAAAAGTAACTTTTTAGCAAGAATTTTTATCTTGATTCAAGTTAATTTTTTTTCAGTGTAAATAATAAAAAATATTTCAAGTATGAAATTAATTAAAAAAAAAAAATTAAATCTCTTATTTAAATCCACGAATTAATTCTTGCTGGTCTCTTTGCGCTGTACGCCAACAAATTGTCTTAGTTTCTGCTGGACTGATGTCCTCGTTCCTTCACTTAACTTGAATTGAACATCTCCAGCAGATCGAAACTCAGCACCCTCAGATTCTTAAGTGATGTCTCAACGATAACTGAATTGGCAATTGATTCTCCGAACCCGACTCTCCTTTTGTTTGTTATCCCATTATTTATTGAATTTTATTATTCTTTTCTTCATTGTTTACTCTGGTACCTTTCAGACACATTGATGGAATATTCCAGAGCTTCGATCCATTACACACTGGCAGTATCACACTGGATCAGTATAATACGGCTATCAAGTTGCTTGGAATCGCAGACTATAATCAGAATCCACGGGAGTGTGTACCAGGCAAAGTAGACAAAGAAGTCTTCCATGCAGAAGTGTAAGTTTATTATCTTTCTCCTCTGGGTTTTATGTTTAATGTCGCAACATCTGTAATTTAACAATAATAATAACTACATACTTATTTTACATTTATATTTATCTAAGTATAAATATGAATTTAAATTAAAATAAAAAAGGCCGTTCGGCAGATATATAATTATGAAATGACCTTGTATCTTGTGAACTATTGAGATTTTTAAAGATATAAGCTCACCCCGACATTACACTCGTCGAGACCTTTCATTTGAGTACCCACATCAATTTTTCATATATTTATATATATTACATATATGTATATATGAAAAATATATCAAAAATGCATGTGGGTACTTAAATGAAAGCTCTTGATGAGTATAACATCAGGATGAGCTTATATCTTTAAAATATATATTATATATATGTATATATGAAAAATATATAAAAAATGCATGTGGGTACTCAAATGAAAGCTCTTGATGAGTGTAACATCAGGATGAGCTTATCTCTTTAAAAATATCAATAGTTAAGAAAGTACAGTGCAATTAAACAAAATTCATTATTTAATGAAGCAAAATTTAATTTATTTATAATTCACAAGTCTTGGCAGTCACATAATAGTTATTTAGGTAACTCTTAACTCGTAAGTAAAATTTCTTAGTTTAAAAATTTTTCTATTCAAATAAAAAAGATGAAATTCTTCAAAATCATTTACTTGATTCAAGTAAATATTTTTTTGGGTAATTATATTTATACTGAATATTTAAAATATAAATTTTAATAAAATTTCTTTGATGTAAATCTTGAATTGACTGGCAGCAATCATGCTCCTTAAATAAGGACGAGTTGAAGGTAATATAATCGGCAAGAAGAATTAAAGAGATATAAAATAAGAGCGAGAAGAAGCGACGAATGATTAAAGGCATACATAGATATAATATAAAAGCATCAGAATGTTTTTATAAGTAAAAATACAAAGCCTGGAGGCACGCGTCTGCTCCTGAAAATATATGCACTAACTTATGAGTAATTATTACCCCGCGGCCTGTTACTCTGCCGGCACTTATCTTAGGAATACTTGCCATTACGAAAAAATTCCGCTATACACTGCCTACTTCTTCCTCTTATTCTTATGCTGTTTATACCCTGATAGCGCTTGGGGCTTGGAGCAGCCTCTGAATTTTACGAGGGAGACCCATTTCCAAGGGCAGACACGCAGATCTGAATTCTCAGCCCGGGGGTTAACCAAGTACTGATGGGAATAGATACATAATATTCTCAATTTAAATATTGTATCGTATACTGTACTTAGTTTTGCACTAAATCATAGCTGGATTATTAACTTTTATTAATTCAAAGCTTGCAATGGGTGTAAATTAATACAAGCCACGGTTGAATTTTTAATTAAACTAAATTTTATTTTCTACGATAATTACGATAATTTTTTTTTTTTTATTAAGTTAATCTTTGACGCTAAAACTCCCACGATATAATATAACTGGAATGATGATTGGAAAAAGATTTCTCGGTAAGAAATAAATCAAGGGGAACCTTCACGCAAAATTAGACTCGTGAATTATTTTATGCGACTTAAATCCAATGAATGATGAATTTATTGGGAGTATTTTACTTTCTGAAGACGGAAAAAAAGCTTGAGAACTAACCCGGTTCCCTCGAGAGTAACTGATGGTAAAACTCAGCGAAATAATTCAATCAATTAGCATTTCTCGCAAGAGTCAACATCACGTCGTCTCAATCGCGTGGCCAGTCTACTATTCCCAGGATGAGTTGCGCTGATAAACTTACAAAGGAACTGCCGAGGACTTGAAGGTACCTTGTAATACAAGTTCGCATGCTTACATTTATGTAATTTAAATTTTTATATTTTTAAATTGAATTTAAAGTACTGTTTAAGTTAGTAAAATAATACTTTTGATAAGTAATTAAAAAAAGGCTAATAATTAATAAAAAATATATATATATATAAATATATAAAAAATTGATGTGGGTACTCAAATGAAAGGTCTCGATGAGTGTAACATCAATACGAGCTTATATCTTTAAAAATATCAATATTTTTCAAGATACAAGGTCATTTCTTAATTATGTTAAATTGCACTGTACTTTCTTAACTATTGACGTTTTTAAAGATATAAGCTCATCCCGATGCTATACTCATCAAGAGCTTTCATTTGAGTACCCACATGTATTTTCATATATTTTTCATACATACATATATATAATATATATAAATATATGAAAAAATTATGTGGGTACTTGAATGAAAGGTCTTGATGAGTGTAACATCATGATGAGCTTATATCTTTAAAAATGTCAATAATTCATAAGATACAAGGGCATTTATTAATTATGTTAAATCGTACTGTACTTTCTTAAATATTGACGTTTTTAAAGATATAAGCTTATCCCGATGCTATACTCATCAAGAGCTGATAAGTTTTTAATATTCACCGGTTATAGGAGCTCAGCCTGTTCTTAGTAAGCCAGTAAACTTGGAGTACAATTTTACGAGATGAATATTACGTAAAATAATTATTTTTTACAACAAGACCTTTCATTTGAGTACCCACACGCATTTTCATATATTTTTCATATATTCATATATATAACTATATAAAATATATGAAAATGTATGTGGGTACTCAAATGAAAGGTCTCGACGAGTGTAACATCGGGATGAGCTTATATCTTTAAAAATGTCAATATTTCACAAGATACAAGGTCATTTCTTAATAATCTATCTAGAGATAGAGCATTTTCGAATGCCGCCTAAATTTTCATGGCTTCGTTAATTTTATTTAGTTCAAAAATTTGTCGTCTTGATTCAAGACATTGAAATTCTTCAAAATTATTTTCTTGATTCAAGATAATTTTTTTTTCATTGTACAAAAATTTTACTACCTTATCATGTTGAAAAACCATAACTGAATTTTTTTAAGCATCTCTTAATCAAAAAATAATTTTTTTCTTCCAATAAGTATCTTGGATCCGAATCTTTAATGATTCTGTCTTAAACTTTTTCTGTGAAGCTATCTAAATTTTTTTTTGTCGACTCCTAAATACTTATTTAACGACTGGAAGCTCTTTAATTTAATATGAAGTACTCTCTTCATATCCTGTCTCACCTTGTACCTGAAACCGAACATAAAATTTATTATTATTTAATATCGCGTGTTAGGCAGATAAGATGAGATTCGTTATTTTAACGCACCTAAAAAACAGCAACACCGAAGTCATTTAGTAGTACATAACACGAGCAGATACAGAGATGAGACAAGATGAGATGAGCGAGTGGACCAATTGGTTTTTGAAGAGCCCTTGTGTATAAGCGGCGCGTGCTTGTACGTAATTTAGTCCAATTGTCCTGCGCTCGCATCCCGTTCAGTCTTAGTACGTCGACGTTTAAGTTTTATTTTATCTTCGGGCCTTCTGTTCATGTGTATAGAAATTTCACATACACTCTCGATATATATATTCGACTCAAACTTTAACTTGTGGTTAATAGATGTATGAACGCACGTTCAAGTTGTCTCGCCAATGACGTCAGTCGTCTTTAGGTCAAATAAAATTCATCAACGGCCAGACGGCTAAATACATATATTCTCTATTATTATATATTTATACACTGAGATAAAAAAATTTATTTAAAAATAAAATGAGCAATTTTTTAAGAAGAAATTAATTTTAAACAATTTCATTTTTTAGCTAAAGAAATAAAAAATTTTTTTACAGTAATTTTTTAAATAAATAAAATTTTGCTTTATTAAATAATGAATTTCGTTAAATTGCACTGTACTTTCTTAACTATTGACATTTTTTGAAATATAAGCTCATCCCAATGTTATATTCATCAAGAGCTTTCATTTGAGTACCCACATGCATTTTTGATATATTTTTCATATTTAGATATATATAATATATATAAATATATAAAATATATGAAAAATTGATATGGGTACTCAAATGAAAGGTCTTCATGAGTGTAACATCGGAATGAGCTTATATCTTTGAAAATGTCAATAGTTCACAAGATACAAGGTAATTTCTTGATTATGTTAAATTGCATTGTACTTTCTTAATTATTGACATTTTTAAAGATATAAGCTCATCTCCATGTTACCTTCATTACGAGCTTTCATTTGAGTACCCACATGGTATTTTTCATATATTTTATATATATGGTATTTGTGAAATATATATAAATATATAAAATATATGAAAAATCGATGTGGGTACTCAAATGAAAGGTCTTGATGAGTGTAACATCAAGATGAGCTTATATTTTTAAAAAGATCATTGTTTCACAAGATAAAAGGTCATTTCTTAATTATGTATCTAGAAATATTTTCGAATGCAGTCTAAATATTTATCATCATAAATTGACTAATACATTGGCCACAAAATTTTGCTTACTCTCTTAATAATAGATTACTTATTTTTTTTTATAATAAATTTTTTGTTTAGTGTATTATAATTTAAATATATATATACTCACAAAGTGTAATATGATTAATTTCAATATTTATCTTTCTAGAAAAAAATGTATGATCAACGGAGTAGAAGAAATAATCGGTAAAAATAGCAAGTAACTCCGTAAATTAATCACCGATGTTATTGAAACATTCATCCTAAAACAGAAACCAAAGAAGGTGGTCAGAGCTCTGAATTGCATCAGCTGTTAGTGTCATCGGATACACTGCTCAAAATGATACACATAATAAAAAATAAATAACAATCTGTACGAAGAATTTACTTGCAACCAGCAATGTATGGACTTTAAATGAAAAAATGTTATTTCTTCTTAACATTTTATTTTTTCTACGCATAACTAAGTTTTTTTCAAAGTAAATATGCTAATGGTAAGAAATCTACATTAATTTGTCACGGTTCATTTGGAATAATCAGGTATTTTTTTTTTATTTACCTTTAAACTTTCCCAACCGTTGGTTTTTGTCATTGAAATTAGAATTGTAATATCTTGTGTTGAGTTGTAGTGTAGGTATGTCCTTAGCATAACTAGAAAGTTATATACAATATGAGTAGTTTACGGAGTAGATATACGGAGAATAACATTAGTGGCCTCCCAAATACACAGCCGAAATTTCGCAGAGAAGACGGAGCAGTCACTGCGGGTGGCGCGCCCACCTAGATTATTTATGTTATGATAATTTGTCAGCCGCTCCTTGCTCCTTGCTCAAGACTACGCAAAATTATCATATGGGAAACTTTTATTTTAGTTTATAAACATACAAGTAGCAAGTTTACTCAAAAATACATACCAACTTGTAGTAATGTACTATTAACTTTTTACTACAGGCCAAGTCGAGTAACGTTATACTACATTAAGCAACGATGATCATATAGAACCGTACAGGTTGCCTCTAGGCAACTTTTTACTTAGTTTTTTGCTTTGGAATTCTCAGATCAACTTCTAATTGTCCTAGATTTAATTTTGCTTCAAGAAGTATATGGATTATATACTTAATTTAGAAAATTGTAATCTCTTTATAATCCATACGATTTTAAATTATAAATAAATAGTATTTATAATTTTATACTATTATTTCTTCTTTTAAATTAAATTTTTCCATTGAAATTTCTTCTCTGTTTAAACAATCTTATTTCTTCTCGATATAAAAAAAATAATTAACAATATACTGGGAACCTTGCAATCACTATGTGACTAGTTGAGTGTAGATAAATAAAATTTTGCTTTATTAAATAATGAATTTTGTTAAATTGCACTGTACTTTTTTAACTATTGACATTTTTAAAGATATAAGCCCATCCTGATGTTACATTCATCAAGAGCGTTCATTTGAGTACCCACATGCATTTTCATATATTTTTCATATATACATATCTAATATATATATAAATATATGAAAAATTGATGTGGGTACTCAAATGAAAGGTCTCGATGAGTGTAATGCCGGGATGAGCTTATATCTTTTAAAATGTCAATAGTTCTCAAGATACAAGGTCGTTTCTTAATTATTGACATTTTTTAAGATATAAACTCGTTCCGATGTTACACTCATCGAGACCTTTCATTTGAATACCCACATGGCATTTTCATATATTTATATAAATTATATATATGTACATATGAAAAATATAT